TCACAATCACGGGAGCAGCCAATGGAAAAGCAGATGGATGAAAAGTGGACAGAACAACCAACCAATGTCAAATGTGTTCCTCTGCCTTCTGTGAACCCAGTCACTTTTATCTGACCTTATTCAAAGTACTTTTCCACCACAGACTTAAATAAAGACAAGGACATAAAAGACAAGTTCATCGAAGACATAACACAAAACATTCATGTAAGAGAGAACAACGGTCTGAAAAAAGACCTTGGTGTGCAACAGGAATTGCAAAAAACTAAGAATAACTTTGGTAACTAAGACACAGGTCTCCCTTCTTTCTGACTCTACATTTTTCATGAGCAAGAATACGCCCTAGCAATTCCCTCAGCTCAGTTAATGAGATTTGCATTCAACCTGGGAGTCATTTAGCCCATTAACAACAGCCCAGATCTTCTTACAAACACTTCCCTGTAAAATACTTTGATGACATAGATCTCAAAGTCACCCAACTAGTAAAGGTCTTGATTTTGAGGCTGACAGAAAGACTGCTATGTAAAAACTAGGTATCCAATTTGGATAGAGTTCCTGTCAGCAAGTCAATTCTATCATATACAATGTATGACTTCAACTTACTCTACTTGTAGTTATTATTTTCCAATAGTCCTTTATAATGGATAATGAACAATTACATCATTATAACATAACTTTCTGAATCACCTAAGATTAAACTTTCTCTGCATATCAATTTTCTTTCTTACACAATGAAGAGTTGAACGAAACAGTCACCAAATTTAACAAAGTGCAATGCTTCCCAGCAGTACAATGCCTAACCAAACTTGTATTCAAACTGTAGGATTTTATAGTTTGTTAGGACCTCAAAAACTAAAAGTACGATTATCATATAATCCAGCAACTACGTTCCTAGGTAATGACCAAAAGAATTCAAAGAAGAAATTTGGATAGACACTTGTACATACATGCTCATAGTATAAGTATATAAGCTAAACATGGATGAACCTTGGAAAAAATACCAAGTGAAATAAACACAAACATCAATCAATGAACAAATACTGTATTATTACACTTACAGGAAATATCTAGAATAAGCAAATTCCTGGCTTGTCAAGGCTATTGTGCTTGATACAGAAAGAATCAAAGTTTACCAGGGCTGAAGGGCCAGAGGGAGGAGAGTTATTACTTGATGGCTAGAGTTTCTGTGAAGGGTGAGGAACAAGTTTTAGAAGTTGATTGCTTCTCAGCCTGTTGGCTAGATGTAGAGACCGTGGTGACGATGGCACACCCATATGAATGCAATTCATGCTAATGAACTGTGCATTTAAGAATAGTTATGGGTGGGGGCTGGAGAGATGGCTCAGTGGTTGTCAGCACTGACTGCTCTTGCAGAGGACCTGGGTTTGAGTCTCAGCACCCACATGGCAGTCAAAAACCATCCATAACTCCAGTTCCAGGGGATCCGACACCCTTCTCTGACCTCTGCGGGCATTGCATGACATGGGTGTACCCACATACATGCAGGCAGTACGCTCATACACATAAAATAAAAATAATAAATAAAATATTTTTTAAAAAAGAATAGTTATTGGGGCATATTTTGACTATTTTAACATAATAAAAATTACAGAATTTAGGGTCGATGAGATGGCTCAGCAGGTAAAAGCTTGCCACCAACCTGGATGACCCGAGTTCTATCCCTGGAACCCACATGGTGGAAGGAGAGAACCAATTTCCACAAGTTGTCCTCTGATCGCTAACATGTGCCACTGCATGTGTGCACACACACACACACATAAATGTAAGAAAATGACAGGATTTAAGATTTTTATAGATTTTTATAGAGGTGAAGATAAACATAACCTGTAATCTTAGACAAATCCGTTCATTTCTTCATTTATGAGATAGGAATATTAAGATCAATTGTCCATGCAGGAGATCTACAGTGTGGCAATTACCCAGAACTTGGAGGTGGAGAAGAACAACACCTGTGTGTAAATAAGACTATCCGGTCAACTTACCACAGACAACAGTAGAGACACACAACACCATCTAAAAAGGTGACACAGCTTCAGCCCCTGCCCAATATGTTCATATACACTACTGAATATTATATGTCATAAGCCAATCCCAAGTAAAGCTGAATACTACAGGAGGCTCAAAAAGGCCCACAAAGCAACACACCAGCTGGGGGAGACCATGAGCCTCCACTGATTTTCCCATGTACGCCTCACTCACAAGGTCATTCCCACTTGGATGCAAAGATGGGTATGGTTAGCTAGCTAAAGGTGTTCTACTCCTATCAGTGTGAATCATCAAACGTACTTTACCATGAAGATGTTTCCTAAGGACTGTCATGATGATATCATCTGGAAAAGAGGGACCAAGAGAACACTCTGTGCATTAATGTAAAGGCTATTGGGATTTTAAAAAATATTTTATTTATTATTTTTATTTTATGTGTATGTGTATATTGCCTGCATGTAGGTGAGTGCACCCGTGTTGTGCAATGCCCGCGGAGGTCAGAAGAGGCTGTCAGATCCCCTGGGACTGGAGTTAAGGACAGTTGTTAGCTGCCATGTGGGTGCTGGGACTCAAACCCAGGTCTTCTGCAAGAACATTCAGTGTTGTTAACCGCCGAGCCATCTCTCCAGCCCCTATTGGGATTTTACTTTTTTTACTGATATTTTGAACAACGGGACACAGTAAACAGTCACAGGAAGTGTTTATGGATGTGAATACCATCCTTGTTGCACCCAGACTCTCAGTCACTTTATGCTTAAAGTCAATCAAAACTTTATACTCATCAGTGAGAACCAAGCCTCATAAAGTTTAACTTCTGGTGCCATTAGTCCTCGTCTAAAATTGGAAACAGTGAGGAGTAAGCCTCTGCTGACAGCTGCGTAGTGGGGTAGTTAGGAAGACGTTGGTAGGAGACAGAGAATGCTAAAGTAGGTCTCGAGAAATTGATGATAGGTTAGACATTCTCCAGGCAGGGGCCCTCAAATCATGGCACTTATCCAGCCACAGTCACCACAGGGCAAATACTTGGACTCTTCATGTTTCAATTATAATCAAATTTTATGTGTTTGTTTTTGTTTCTTAGAGACAAGGTCTCATGTAGTCTAGGCTGGATAACTTACTATGAAGCTGGGAATGACCCTGAACTCCTGATCTTCTGACTTCTATGTCCCAAGTGTTGGAATTACAGGTATGTGCCACCATGCCTAGTTCTAAAACTGATTTTTCTAATAGAGGATGTCGGGACAAAATGAGAGAATGGTAAGGAAGCTATCTGAGGCTTATGTCGTCTTTCACTACCATGTCCAGTATATAAATGCCTGGGGTTATAATACTTAACATACCAGCCTGTGGGGTGGATTACAGAGTGCAGATATAAACTATTCCATCATTAATTTCTCAAGGTAGCTTGAGTTACCACATTAGACAAATGTGTCAGACTATGTCTTCATCCAATGGATGTATAATTCATCTGATTCTTCTGGTTCTGATTTTATATTCAACAACATTCCACACTATACCCTGATAGCTAATCTGTATCTTTAGAGTAAAACGTACCTATCATTTGAAATGCAAAAAAATCTAATAAAGACATATTTTGTAAAATCAGCTTAATATCAGCCCTATGAGTTTAGCTAGGTGATCCACCCATGAGAGGCAAATCTGCTATTGTCTCATTAAAAACAATAAGAAAGCCACGTATAGTGGTACATACCTTTAATCCCAGCACTCGGGAGGTAAAGGCAGGGGGATCTCTAAAAGATGAAAGCCAGCCTGGTCTACATAACAAGTTCCAGACCAGCTGGGGCCACAGGAAGACGGTATCTCAAAAATTAATTAATTAATTAAAAAAATAACAAAATAGTTCAGAGTTCTTAGGCAATACAACCAAGTCTGATTTTAGTGGAACAGAGTGACTGCCATTCTGTGAACTCTCTGCAAGTTTCCTTCAGTGCCTTCATCATGCCCCACATGGTTTTCTTATTTTCCTGTCACCTATCAGGGCAGTTTCCAAACACCAATGAGACAAGGGTAAATGAACTCAGCACACATGGTAGATGATAGACAGGTGTTCATTTCCATCCTGCCACTCATCTCTAGACTACTGTTCCAGATTAAGAAGTTGCAATCAGGGGCTGGAAAGATGGTCTAGTAGTTAAGAGCATTCATCGCTCCTACAGAGGACCCAGGGTCACATGGTAACTAACAACCATCCTGGTAACTAACAACTATCCTGGAACAACTCCAGTTCCAGGGGATCCAATGCCCTCTTCTGGCCTCCGTGGGCACTGCACACATATAGTACACATATACATGCAAGCAAAGCACTCATATACATAAAAATAGAAATAAAAAGAACTTGCAATCAGAAACTTGACTCTCACTCTTGATCCCTGATGCTTTCAGTACACTCAGTGAGGCCATACAGACCCATGAGTACTGAGGGAAGCCCTGTTCTCTGACTTCACAAATGCTAAACACTAGTCATTTCAAGACTGTTGCAGGCCCAGCAAGAAGGAATGGACTTCTTAAAAAGACTTTTCAGAAGCCAAAAGGGGCACAGATGTAGTCCCACAGACAGATGGGCAGGGCAAGCAGAAGGGCTGTGAAAACCGCTCCAAGGCCATAGTCAAAAAGGGAAATAACTCGAATGCCCTGTAAATTCTGTCATAGCAATGCAGACCCAAATTCTTAGCTATCACTGTGATTACAAAAGTGGTATTAAAAGAACAAACAGTGGGTATTTTGTCCTAAGGACCAAGAACAGTGTCTGGGTTGGTTAATGTTTTAAAGTGATCTTTGGTTGCTTCCCCCTGCCTGCCATTGGCTGTCGCTGGGAGAATTGAAATTAGATGTCACAAATACTGTCTTGTGCTTTCTGGAGGCCCCTTGCGGCTTTGTTGGCAACTCACAGCTACTTCAACCTTCCACGAGGGTTGCTGTAAAGATGACACAGGTAAAGCCACATTCACCACCAGGATAAATAGAAGAATGCATACCTCGTTCAAACTTTAGCCGCTGATAAAGTTGAAACTGATCCACAGGCACCAAACAGGCAATCTGAAATCAGAGACATTGGATGGATAAGTTTTCAGTTAGCGGAGGGCCCCATGTCACCAGCCTTCTTTCTGATTCCTCTTTCTGGCTGTGCTTAGTATATCTTCTCTCCCAGTTATCTGAAAGAATGTTTTTCTCTACTTGTTCATGCAGCAGTTCTCAGACCATCCCCATGCCTCCTACCATGGCTAGGAACGACTGCTCAAGGTATCACTTCCAAAATTTATAGGCTGCCTTCCAGTCTTCGGTCAGCCGCTACTAACCACATTTTAATATTTTAATATTTGGACCTCTCACATTATTTATGTACATATGCCAAAAAGGACCCTTTCCTCTCTATATCCATTAAAGACATTTTTAAAAGGCTATAGCTCTAGTTTTGGGTCTTTAAAAACTAAGGTCAAGTAGACAGTACCTCCATAATTAAAACTTTGCTCATTCCCAAGAAATCTTCTAAACAATATGTCACATTGGCATATTGGATCATGGTAGAAAAGAAATGGCCTAAGACATTTCTTGTGTCTAGACTACCATTTTCACTTTGACAGCAGAATGAACCAAGAGCTTGCTGATAAACGTTTCATTCTAGCCCTGTGACATTTCACATTAAACATTTAAAAATTGTATTTCAAAGTCAGCTGGAAGAAAAGCTAACTGCTCTTACAAACTGACATTCTAAAAATGTCAGTTCCACTGACATCAATGTATAAGTTCATGACTGACACTTAACACATTTGTAAGTCAGAATAATAAAAGGGTTAGCTATTGGCGTTCTAGATATTAATATGGGAACACAGTCTCAGCCTTGACAATTCCAACTGAAAATTATATGTATAATACATCGAAATAAAACATGTTAAAATTTATAAAACAAAGTCAGCTTTCAGAAAACTGCAGTAAGAAGATGACTCAACTAAAACTGCATCTAACAAAATAAAAGTACATTTAAAAGTACATACAAAGTCTAATTATGCACCTTAAAAGTAGTCTCATGTTTTTTATTTCACAAACAAGTCAGACAAAGGTAGCTAAAATGTACTAAGGATCACAGAACAAGCAAGTTCCATCTTCCTCATTAAAAATAAAGCATGTTATAAAATAATAAATAAAATATTTGGAAAAAAGGGGGGCTGGAGAGATGACTCAGCAGTTAAGAGTACTGGCTGCTCTTGCAGAGGACCCAGGTTTGATTCCCAGCACCCACATGGTGGCTAACAACTGTCTATAACTCCAGTTCCAGGGGTCCAACACCCTTTTCTGACCTCCATAGGCATTACACAACATGGGTGCACTTACATACATGCAGACAATACATTCATACACATAAAAAATAATAATAAATTAAATATTTGAAAATATAAAATATGTTACAGACTATCCAATTAGAAAAACATTTTTCTCTAATTTTTTTTCAACAAATTGGAAGTAAAATGTATTTTCATCTGGTACCTTATAAAAAAGCACCTTTACCAATCCTTGTAAAAAATATTAGGATCAATTTCATGTTATATGTATTTTGCTATAGTTTTATGAAAGTATGACTGGACTTCGGTGATATGAAAAGTCAGCTTTTTATATTTGTTACAATGTCACCCAAAATAACTCCCTTGAAAGACAAAGGCAAACAGAGTTAAGGCATGAGAGCTTATTTCTTGACCTTGTCATTGACCTCTGTGCATAGAGGACAAATAACCTAATGCTACTTCAACTTTTGGGCTAAGTTAATATTGGGTTAGTATCATCTGGGCCCAAGAGATCATAATGACACTCCAAGAGCCTATTCTTAGCCTCCTTTTCCCCAAAGCTACCTGAGGTCAGTGATTGTATGCAACAACCCTGAACCTACTCACCCTCATCTAAAATAGTTTGTGGACTGATGCAGATCTTTTTTAAATCCATCAAAGGCAACTCCTAAGAATTCTGATTTTCTAATGAAGAATGATTCATCTAATAGCTAAGTCACAAAATACATGGGAGACATGGGAGATAAGATGTTTCAGACGCAGATAAAATAGTGGTGAGAAAAACGGCAGGAAGTGACGCAGTAAAAGCCACTCTCAGTAGGGAAGACTGTTTATTTTAAATTATAAAGACAAATTTCATCAGAGTGCATTTTACTGCCAGCAGGGAGGGTGTACATCTCTAACTCTTTCTGTCTTAATCTCATTTGAATTTCCCCTTTATTATTTTGTAAGTCAAAGGTTTATGCAGAATTAGACCTTAATAGGGTAAGTTGATTTTTCCACTGAAGTTTGCAGCCACAGAAAACTCTTAATGCTCACTCTTGGATCTTTCTGGAACAGAGGTATTGTCTGGTATACACTCATCGTTCCTCCAGTCCTGCCCTGTAGGTTGCGGTTTCTCAGTCTGCTCCTTGACACCCAGCCTACCATGGGCTTGGTGAGCACTGGGCTACACAGGAGACACAGATGTGCTCAAGGAACTGAATCACACACAAGACAGCACGCACAAGATTCAAAAAGAATCTACTTGATTTTGACACCTTTTGGATTTTGCAAGTTAAAATTAACTTTATAAAGTATTTCTATCACACTTCAATTTCTAGATGAGAGAAAAACTGAACATTTTTGTTTGTTTTTGTTTGGTTGTTTTTTGAAAAAAAAAAAAAGATCCAAGGGAGCCAGCCTTATGGTAGGAGCCAGGTATGGTGGGGCAGGCTTTAATTCCAGCACTTGGGAGGCAGAGGCAGGTGGATCGTTGTGAGTTTGAGGCCAGTCTGATCAATATAGTGAGTTCCAGGCCAGCTGGGGCTATAGGGAGACCTTGTCTAAAAAGACAAACAAAACAAGACGATCCAAGGTATTACATTCCCGGTTCCACTATCATTCAGAGCTAAGTCACAATTGCCCAAGGCCTCCATTTCTAAAATCATAAAAAGCAAAATAATTCTGTTGGGATGATTTTTGGAAGGCTCCAGGTGAAACAACCAGCTGTTTGAGGATATTCACAAATGCTCTAAAATGTCAGAACGACAATCCCAGAGAGTAAGAACCCTCATCCTCTTTATTCCAACACAGAAATTCCAAATCATCCAAAAGTACACGGGAATGTTTTCTAAAATTTTTATTCTGAAATCATTTTAGATTTATAGAGTGTTCCTAAATGCCACTCTCCCAACTTCCCCTAAAGAGAACACCTTACATAAAACCATCATTAACTGTTAGAAGAATAAGATTTACATTGGTATAATACCAACTAAGTAATCACCAGGACTTACTCAAATCTCACACATTCTGCCACTGGTACCCTCTTCTACCTCCTTGCATCTAGCACAGTGTCTCCTGAGCCTTCTGGGAGAGTTTTCAGTTTCTTTTTTCCTCTCATGACCTTTACATGTTTGAGGAGTCCAGGCCAGTGATCTGCACAGTGTTCTTTAAGGTGGACTGGCCTGATGCTTTCTCAAGATTAGATTGGAGATGAGCACTTCTGGCAAGAATATCAGATGTGACTTTGGGGGCACCAGGAGGTACATGGGGACATCATGTCTCACTACTGGTGATGTTAACTCATTAATTTGATTAAGGTGATCTATGCCAGTTTTTTCTGTCCTTTATATGCACGAATGTGGCAGGGATTGTTTTAATTCAGGAGCTTATTTTTTATGTGTATGTGTGTTTGTCTATGTAGGCACATGGGATATGTGTGCAGGTGCCCACAGAGGCAAAAGAGGGTATCAGATCCCCTGGAGCTGGAGTTACAGACAGGTGTGAGCTGCCTGATGTTGGGGCTGGGAACCAAACTCAGAGGTCCTCTGGAAGAACAGGAATCACTCTTAACATTGAGCTATCTCTCGAGCCCCTTAATTTAGGTTATTTGAGATAAAGAATACATAAAATTCCCATATAAATGTAGTTCTTGCTCCTCATCAAAGAAGCCTCTTTTTGTAGCAGACCTACAACTTGTCAAAATGTGGAGCACAAAGTGAGTGTGGGGTACGCAGCCCCAATCAGTACATCTACAACACAACCCCTACAATAAACTCAGGGAACATCATGGAAGAGGGGTCAGAAAGACTTAAGAGCTAGAGGACCAGGATACCTGTTGAGAGATGGTGTCATCTAGACATGACAGAGATGTTGTACCCATGACAGCTTAACAAGATGGTAGCCTAAGCAAGACCTGAATAATTACCATACCAGTTGACAAGCCAGTGGAGATAGGGCAAATTTCACAAGGCCCTATCTCTAGATAAAGCTACGGGCAATCAATCACTACTGAGAAAGGGAGAATCAGTTTTCACCAAGTACAAGCCCTCCGATAGGTTATCCAATCTCAAGGGGTTGGCCTTAAACACACATACATATGAGCAACATTAAATGGACTAAGTAGGTTAAACACAGGCACACACACACACACCACACATAATTGAAGAGGTCATGAATTTGAGAATGAATAGGGAAAACACAGGAGGAACTGGAGTGAGGAGAGGGCAGGATGGAAATGACATAAATACAGCACTCATGCATGAAATTCTCAAAAAAAAAAAAAAAGTACAAATTTAAACAATGATAGAGAGCTTCCCTCCAATAATTAGGAAACACCTAAGATGGAGATGAAGATTTTATTACTTAAAGTTCCTGGGCAGTAGGTACATAGACCTCATGGAAGACACACATGTGGCCCTCAGGGAGTGCATGCAGGGAGAGAGAAGAGCCCCGTGGGTGAGCACCTTCTCCAAACAGGCTTCATGGGAGGAGGTTTAATGGGGCTTAAAGCATGCAGACAGAAGCTCCAGGTGGTCATGCTGTGACTGAGAGGTGGTTACTGTGAAATAGCTGGCATTCATGAGGATGAAAGGTCAGTAAGATCACTCAAGTCATCTGTATCTAGCTGTCTCATGGAGAGGTAGGCCCCAGAAGGAAGCTGTGTAGAGCAGATTTTCTGGACTGACCACATTGAGGAACTGAGAGAGGGTGTAAAAGTAGACACTCCATTGAGGGAGAACAAGTTGGGTTCCGGTATGAGCAAGCCCAGCTGGTATT